CAAGTGAGCCACGGGCTGGCCTTGTTGGAAGACTTTTAACTGCTGATTCAGTTTCTTCAGTGGCTTTTAGAGAATTTTTTTTTCCTTTTTGTCTTTTTTCGTGTCCGGCAACGGATCGCAACCCTCAGTGTCACGCCCGTACCGGACCGGGACCGGCAACGGGATCGCAACCCTCAGTGTTGCTCCCACACCTCGCTCAGCCAGTGAGCGGGAACCGGTCTGTATGTGGGATCCAAACCCTCGGCGGGAGCGCCACCATGCTCCCAAGCGGCGCACTGTAGCAGTGTGCCACCGGGCCGGCCCCATAGAGAATTTTTTATAGTTATTTATTGTTTAGGTAGATTATATTTTTCTAGGAATTTGTCCGTTTCATCTACACTTTCAAATTTACTGGCATAAAGCTGACCACACTCCTCACTTTCACTTTTTAAATTTGTAGTTATGTTCTGTTTTCCTTTGCTAATATTAAGTATTTGTGACATTTTTCCTTGATCAGCCCCACCTACTCTATTTAGGATCAATATCATCTATTTGATTAGCCACTTCAAAGAACCACCTGTTGGTTTTGTTGCTCCTCAGTACTGTGTCTTTGTTTTTTTTTGTGGCTGGCCAGTATGGGGATCCAAACCCTCGACCTTAGTGTAATCAGCACTGCGCTCTAACCAAGTTATCAGCCAGCCAGCCCCTGTGTCTGTTTTCTATTTCATAATTTCTGCTCCTACTCCTGTCTTCCACCTTCTTTGGGTTTAGGCTATTATTTTTCTGACTTTTTAAGTTGGATGCATAACTCATTAATTTTCAGCCTTTCTTCTTTCCTATTATAAGCTTTAAGGCTATAAATTTCCGCCTAATTACTTTATTCGCTGCAATCTGCCAGGTTCATTGTATAGTGTTTTTATTCCCGTTCAGGTCTAAATATTTAATTTCAAGTGTGATTTCTATTTTTTCCTATGGGTTATTTAGAAGCATGTTTGTGCAGAAGAGTTAATATGGCAGTCCTGACTGCTATCCTCTGAAAGGTCTGCTTATGAGGTTGGTCCTCAGCTGGTTTTAGGGAACTTGGATTTTGGGTGGGTTCCCACCACCCTAATTATGTCGACTCTTTTTTGAAATGCTTGCTTACAAGATTGGCCCTTACCTGGCACTTGCGAACATTAGTAGTGCTAAGCAGTTCCATGACTCTGATTAGATATTAGTTAGACTTTCTGGGCCAGCCTGTGGCTCACTTGGGAGAGTGTGGTGCTGATAACACCAAGGCCACGGGTTCGGATCCCTGTATAGGGATGGCCGGTTAGCTCACTGGGTTGAGCGTGGTGCTGACAACTCCAAGTCAAGGGTTAAGATCCCCTTACTGGTCATCTTTAAAAAAAAAAAAAAGAAAGATGTATGTACAGATAGCAAATAAGCAAATGAAAACATGCTCAACATCATATGTCATTAGGAAATTGCAAATTAAAACGAGATAACCACTACATACCTACCTATTAGAATGGCTAAAACGTGAAATACTAACACACCAAATGCTGGCGAGGACGTGGAGCAGCAGGAGCTCTCACTCATTGCTGGTGGGAATGCAAAATTGAACAGCCACTTTGGAAGACAGCGTGGTGGTTTCTTACCATACGATCCAGCAATTGCGCTCCTTGGTATTTACCGCAATGAGTCAAAAACTTACATTCACACAAAAACCTGCACATGGGTCTTATAGCAGCTTTATTCATAGTGGCCAAAACTTGGAAGCAACCAAAATGTCCTTCAGTGGGTGAATGAATAAACTGTGGTATATTCATACAATGGAATATTATTCAGCACTAAAAATAAATGAGCTATCAAGCCATGAAAAAACATGGAGGAAGCTTAAGTGCATATTACTAAGTGAGAGAAGCCAATCTGAAAAAGGTATACACTATATGACCCCAACTATGTCACATCCTGGAAAAGGCAAAACTATGGCGAGAGTAAAGAGAGCAATGGTTGCCAGGGGTTTGGGGGAGGGAGAGATGAGTAAGTGGAGCACAGGAGATTTTCAGGGCAGTGAAAGTATTCTGTATGATACTATAATTGTGGATGCGTGTCGTTATACATTTGTCAAAATCCATAGAATTTACTACACTAAGAGTGATCCCAATGTAAACTGTGGGCTCTGAATGATGATGTATCAATATAGGTTCAGCAGTTGTAACAAATGTACCGCTCTGGTGCTGGATGTTGATGTTGGGGGAGGCTGTGTGTGTGTTGGGCACAGATGGTCTATGGGAACTCGGTACTTTACACTCAATTTTGCTGTGAACCTAAAATTGCTCTAAAAATAGTCTGTATTTTAAAGCATCAAATTGCAGAAGTATCTATACAGTACAATATTATTTATGTAAATTTTAAAAACCTGCAAAGTATTTATATAATATTGGAGACTAGTATGTAGTAAAAATGCAAGAACATGAAAAAATTGAATGTTCTATCAAATGTTACACCTCTTTTCCCCATGTAATGGATACGAAGAAAAAGAATTACACGAATACTCAAGCACTATGTATGCATTGAGGCCCAGACGGACTGCATTTCAGTAATTTCTCCATTAGGAGAAAAACTGAAAATGGCAGCCCCTTCCAAAGTTAGCCTCTCCCTTTTATTGTAAAGACAAGGAATTTTTACAAGAAAATTCAGCTGATTTAACCATTACAAAGACACAAGGATATCCGCAGAATTATGGCTAACAAATGGAAAACTAGTAACATCTTTGAAATAAGCACAGTGACATTCCATAATGCAATATGCAAAAGGTTAAGTTGATCCACCAACAAATGCTTGATCTTAGCAAACATTCTCTCTCCCTACACAATTTTCCAGTGTCTTTACATATCAATCAGTAACTTGTCTGTCCTTGAGCCAGCAACCTTGCTGTGTTACAACTCTTTATTTTAAAAGAGACTCAATAGCCTGGGGAAACTTTCCTGTCTGCAAGGTTAACATTTTATATGTACTTTTAAGAAGTTAAGCTAAACCTGAAACTACAGGGAACTAGACTGTGTGAAATACATTTGCTTTATAAATGTAAGTATACTCCACAATCAAAGGGTATAAAATTAGAACACTTCATGAAATGTAGTTGATATTTGTTCAAATGGATATAAATGTTACATGAAAAAGGGATGTTACATTTGTTTTTTTGGCTACTGGCCAGCTGGTACAGGGATCCAAACCCTTGACCTTGGTGTTATCAGGGTGGATGTTATACTTGGACCTATAGTGCAAACTGGCCTACAGTCTGCTTTTACCTATATTTAATTACAAGTGTCTTTTTTTTTCCCCCAAGTGATTTTTTTCCTTTTTGGTCTTTTTAAAAACATTTTATTTTGGGCCGGCCCGTGGCTCACTCGGGAGAGTGTGGTGCTGATAACACCAAGGCCACAGGTTTGGATCCCATATAGGGATGGCCGGTTAGCTCGATGGGTGAGCATGGTGCTGACAACACCAAGTCAAGGGTTAAGATCCCCTTACCGGTCATCTTTTAAAAAAAAAAAAAAAAAACATTTTATTTTGAAATAATGAGATGTGTACACAGTTGCAGTCCTGGTTGTCTGAATCTTCTCATTGCTGGCTCATTTTTGTGGTTCCAAGTTTTTGAGACCAACCTCCTCGTTCACTCTCATTTTAAAGTCATCAGAACCACGCCCCTGACCACCATTATTAATCCATTCACTACTGCACGGTCCTGCAATCCAATCACCTCTCCAAGGCTCCACCTTTCTACTTCCATAGTAGGATTTCCCACCCTCTTCAGAGTCACAGTGGGGGCCAAGTTTCTTTCTTTCTTTTTTTTTTTAAGATGACCGGTAAGGGAATCTTAACCCTTGAGTTGGTGTTGTCAGCACCACGCTCTCCCAAGTGAGCCACGGGCCGGCCCCATGGGCTAAGTTTCTAACACAAAAAACATGGGAGACACAATTCAAGCTTGAGTTTTGGGGGGACATAATTCAATCCACTACATTCCAACCCTGGCCCCCCCAAATTCATGTCCTTTTCACGTGCAAATACGTTAATTTC